TTGCCTTCCACATCCAATGCTCCAGCACTTCCCAAATAAACCTATAAAATACATGTATGTGAGCATTCTGTCATCCATGATAAAAACTGAATTTCTATACAACCGTTGTTAATTTGTTCATACAAGTTGACATTGCCCATAGCAACAGTCTGTTCTTCTTGTCTTTTGCTGCACCTACTTCTAATTTCAGAGAAGATATTGCTGAAAGCATCTAATAAACAGAAACCTATCATAATTCTTTATGTAGGGAGACTAACAAGCCTCGCAAAAAGATGTGGAGTCATGTTTTCTGCACTGTCATTAGTTTTTCTCTTAAATGCACAAACAATTACCTGGATCATGCCAGGATGATCACGTGTATTGTTTCCAGGCCAGGGGGTACCATCTTGCATTACCCATCCTTCTTCAGGTTTTTTCTGAGCTTTTGCCACCAGTGCATTGACCCTCACTTTGAACTCTTCATACTCTCTCTACATCACATACGAGAGACACCCCGACTCTCAGTGGATTTCACAACAAAAAGGAAGAAGAAGATTCAGCATTCAAACAAATAAAAGCTGCTTCTTACTTTCATGGCTCTGCGTTCCTTCACAAAGCTGGGTTCCACCTTATCTTTCAGGTAATCAATCTTTTGGGAAAAGTAAAACTCTGGAGTCCTCGGCTCGATGCTATACTTCTTGCAGAATGGAACCCACCTCCTCGCGAACTCAGCAGTTTCAGAGAGAGTGTCAAAAAGCAGCATCGAAGCACCATCATCAGATACATAGCAGCAAATTTTGTCCACCGGGTAATCAACGGACAAGATAGAGAGGACAGTATTTGCAGTGATTATTGGTGGTTCCTTAAGAGGGTCCACAGTACTCACGAACACATCCACAGGGGCTAAGCGATTGGGCTCACCCTCCCGCTCAAACCTTATGGATAATCTATCCAAATAAGTTTCTCTATTTATCGGGTTCCATTTAGGGAATTGATCAAGAATCCATGAAAGAGCAAACCATGTTTCACATATAACTGAGATAAGCCATAGAGGGAATGCATCAGTTGCAGGGGTTAAGATACGGAAATGGAGGAAAAAGCATAGGACTACGAGGCGCAGGACGATGACAATTCGGTATGGGCTTATCTTGCTCGAAGAAATTGGTACTTTTCTCCAAAGTGGTTGCCGAGCTTCAGCCATCCTGCAAAATTTACATGAAGAAGAATAAGCTTTCATTTAGCACGTGCCACCAACTTTAAATAGCTGTAATGCGTCTGCCTTGCATTATGTGAGTCCTTTGAGAGGTAAGAGTATCAGATCTTTCGCAAGGACTTCCAAAGGTGTATTTTGGCATTTGATAAGGAGCACACGTTTTGCACTTGAAAGTACATTTGAAACATTTTGAAACAAGTCCACGCGCTGAAGTTTTTTCCATGATGTGTGAAGCTATATCCTTTCTTATTTTTAATGTTGAAAATACCCCCAAAGCATGTGTTTGATCGGATCATCAAGGACCCGATTCAGAGTTTCAGCAAATAGATCCGTTGCCTCTTTCCCAAACAACAAAGAACTCTTTAACTCCTCATCAAATGTTAGACTTCGATGGACAAGCCAGTGTCGCCTAAGAAAAAATTTTCTTGGCTGTCATTTTGCACAGAGCAGTAGCAGTGAATCATGGATACCCCACTAAAATCACGGAGAATCGATAAGTCCCAAAGGAACAAAATTTTGCGGAGAACTTACAGGTATTCATCTTCCTCTCCATCGCCATTCCCGCCATCGTCCTTGCTCACTAAGCCTCTCTTTTCTTGCCTGATTTTCCACTTCTCTATCCTCTCTTTCCACTCCGCATTACCTTCTCCTTCCAACTCCGCACCGACAACTACAGAACCAGAACACACGGGAGTACTTCACTTTGTCCGACCGCCAACATACACACAAACACCACCCGAACAACACTAAAGAGGATAAGCCAACCATCAAACAACTAATCAGACTCACCGCTTCCAGCCGAAGAGAAAACCTGACCATTTGGATGGACTTGCGGCGCATGATTGTCCCCATTCTCCTGCGATAACCGTCAATCGATCAGCCATCTTCATTTCAAATCCGGCCTCTCTTTTTCCATCTAACAGAACGCCAAAATTAGAAAATCCGAAATAGAGCAGAGATCGAGCTGGCCATTACCGAATGATCAAAAGCATGGACGCGGACTTCGTTCTCGCCGCGGTTCCTGAGCTGAAACTCGTCCTCGAAATCGTCGCCGTCGAAGTTGTCGTCCTCATCGTCCCCCGCAACGCGAGGGCACCCTGCGAAACCCGCACAACAAAAAGACAGAAAAAAAATCCCGTCACTCGAGGAAGCGATCCCGACCGACCGGCGACCGGCCGACCGACCGAACCCGCCGTCGGTCGGCGGCGGCGGCGGCGCGAAGAGCGAAGAGGGGGGCTCCGGATCGGACCTTTGTGGCGCTTGTAGCGGGCGTTGCACTGGGGGCAGCACTGGTTGCCGTCGCTCCGCTCGTACTCGTAGCACGGCCGGCAGACGGGGAAGCCGCACTCGTGGCAGGCGGCGAACGGAGCGCCGTCGTCCTTCAGGCCGATCTCGTCGCCGCAGACTCGGCAGGTTTTCGACGGATTTTGGCGGGGAGGGGAGCGATGCTGGGGAAGTTCAAAAAAAAAATAGAAAATGAAAATGGAAAAAGGAGGTAAAAACCCGAATTACATTTTTTTTTTCCAATTTCACGACTTATTAAGTTATAGGGATATGTGCACTAGAAGTCCCAAAACTTGTCACAAAAGTGAAATTGAGTCCTAAAACTTTCAAAAAGTGCAAACAAGTCCTAAAACTTGTCACGAAAATGCACTTGAGTCTTAAAACTTTCAAAAAGTGCAAATAAGTCCTAAAACTTGTCACGAAAGTGTAAACAAGTCCTAAAACTTGTCACGAAAATGTAAATAAGTTTTAAAACTTTCAAAAAATACAATCAATGGAATGACTTGATTGAACCAATTTGACAAGTTTTAGGACTTGTTTGCACTTTCGTAATAAGTTTTAGGACTCAAGTGCACTTTCGTAACAAGTTTTAAAACTTGTTTGCACTTTTTGAAAGTTTTAGGACTCAATTGCATTTTCGCGACAAGTTTTAGGACTTTGAATGCACTTATCCCTTAGTTATAAGCACGTGTAATAATAATCATTTTATTGCTCCATAATAAATTAAAAAAATTTAAAATTTGAGAAGAAAACGAAATGATAAAAATAAAATATTGTGAATTTCTCGCCCCTTGCTTTTTTTTAGATAGCTTCCCGGCACTAATCGGATCGATCTATTTCAATTTATTCGATGGCTTTGAACTGAATTTAATAATTTCGCATTATCTTAGAATTTGTGCAAAGTCAATTGTAATCGAGGGGCGATCGTTTTGATAAATTAGTTCTTGCAACTGAATTTTTTGAATATATTATGTGAGTGGTGGTGCTAGTGGAAGAAATTACACCATCAATTATAGATCTAACAAGCACCCGCCTAATGTCGAGAGCCCAATTTTGACGGGTTAACGTTATGCTTATATAAACTTATATATGAATCGATTTCCCGGGTGATGCGATAATCTGTAACTAGAAGTTTAGATAGGTGATCGTAATCGACCTTGGAAAAAGAGCTTGCTATATTATCTTATATAATAGATATAGTAAATAAATGATATCATTACTCCTTTTGCATACTCTTTTATATTGATGGACCAAAAATTCTCTAGTATCTAGTGAAGAATTTTCATGTGATTACGAAATAATCGTGATGAACAGGGGACGATATAACACAAGATGAAAGAACATGTAAGCAAAAATTTCGAGCATGCATTCAATACGATGTCGGTGTAACATCGCGACACATGATGATTCGTTAGCTCGCAAGAATTTTACGACGAGAATTTCCGAGGATAAAAGAGAGTAAAAGAATGGAATAAACATATGGTAACCAGCTGGTGAAAATGGATGGAAACAAGAGGAGGATGGGGGGGGTGGCTACGTACTTCGTCCGCCGCGCCGCCATGCGCGACGTGGAGCTCGTTCCGGGAGTGAGAGCCCACGGCGAAGCCGGACATGGTGTTGGAGGCGGCCACGGGCGAGCGATCACGAAGAAGGAGCGCCGAGACGAGACAACGAGAAGGTACGAGAGAGAGAGAGCTCACCGGGTTGCATCATATATGGAAGAGAGCGAGGAACAGAAAAGGGTTTTGCTTGAGAGTGCGTGTGAGTGTGCGCTGTGCATCTACCAAACGGTGAGGTGGGAGGTCGTAGGTTTGAGTTGAAGAGACGTCAATTTTTGCAGGTTCTGGTGGAGGGAGGGGAGGGGAGAGATTGCTTGTTAGCTCTGCAGCTGCTTCGATAACTTCGATTCCAAGGCTGTCTTGAAACGCTGACGCTAACTCTCTTCCAAACTATGACAGCGTTATTTTATGGGGACATTGCACTGCAATCCCGTACCCTCTGTATACATGTATGTATACGGTTTTTACTGCAGTCCCGTTGTCACTTGATGATCATCATCGATTATCGGGCGGCGTCGAATTGGATCCGGCAAAGCCGGCAAAGCAAAACCTACGACTGACCCCCGTTTCATGAGGACTGATTCTGCAATGATAAAATCCGCCGATGTCAGTACGAGGGCTGCGTTTTCGCCCATTTTTTTTTGGTTGGTGAAGCTTCGCGTATCGAAGTACTTGGCGAGTTTGAAAAATGAGCGATCGCTTTTATGCAAAGTTAACTAAAAATAAATATACACGATGCCAATCTATGTAATCATAAGGAAGAAGTTTTCTCATGTCCTTTGATTTGTGTACCTCTATGCATGCCTATTGCTGACTTACCATTACGAGTTGGGTCTTTGTTCCCCAATCGCAACCCCTGTTTTTAACTTTTCCAATTTTAATATCGATAGTAGCTCATTCTCTGCTAAGTACCATAAGAAGAAGAGATGGGTAATCTCATCAAATATTTCAATAAAAGAGCAAAATCCAAGCAAAGCGCTTCATCTTCCATTCATCCGGAAGTAGCAGATATAAGAGGATACCATTCAATACATATGAATCATCAAAGTGCAGCATCCCCACATGTTATCGGGATTAGAGACTTCCAAATCTCTTGTAGCCAGACAGAAAACTGATGCGCCAGGGCCGACACCATGTTCGGCTAATGCGAAAGCCGCTACTAAGTAGTGATACTTTGGTCAGCTGAATTACATATATCTATTGCAGCAAATAGAGACAATGAAAAATGCAGACATAATAAGCATTGAATTTCAATGCTCCATGTGAAAAAGCTGAGAATAACATCATGAACGACGCATTTCTTCCTTTCGTTTGGTTTGACATTCTCACCGCAAATTTGCAATGCTGAGTTGGGATAAATCATAACCTCAAGCATGCATTTTCTGACGCTTTGAAGGCTGAGAAGACGACTCACGCATCCCTTGCTCGGGACTCTCGAGAGAGACGGCTGCAGGTTCGCTTTGCATCCCCCCCTGCTCCTGCAAACATTCTCTAGGAGCAACGTTGCTATCATTGACAGGATCGATATCAGTTTTTTCTGGCTCCTCCTTGGATTCTTCATATTCGCCTTTTCCAGGGGAGTCTTGAAGTTCTCCAGAAGGCGCAGAGTGATTGTCTAAAGTAGAAGAAGATTCTTTCAGCTTGTTCATTCCTGATTGGCTCTGCTTCTCGAACATCTTCTGGAGGTATCTCCCCTGCTCTTCAATCTGAAGCTGGAGTTTCCTCTGAATCTGCAACAAATGAAAAAAGAGAATGAATCAAACAAAGAAGTTGTCCACTAAACCAGTTAAGTTTCCACAACATCCAAGTAGCAGTCTGCGCTAAGGAGACCTTTCTAGATGGGTAACATGCAGTTAAAGTTACAGGCATGCTCCTACCAAATGCTTGCTAAATGAGTCCCAAAGCTGAACAAGCTCCACAGTCTATGCGAATACTCCAAAAAAAAAAAAACGGAGGGAAATACTCATGTCCTAATGTCAGCACTGGAACATAAAGAATAAACGCGAAGATAGTGACAACTTGGTTGAACGAACCACCAAATATTTTTCTCGTCATTAGCTCAATCCAAACCACGATAAAAATATCTGAGAAGTTATACCTCAAGTTGTTCATGTAGCCGCTTCTGTACTTCCATCTGCATTCTCAAAGCTTCAGTGATCTCCATGCTCCTAAAATTCAAGCAAAACTTAATGAGTTCTTTCACAATTGCTTGATAGATAAGAGACAAACCACAAATCAAATCCAGCTGTTCAACTGCCTTTGCGTCGTCTTCAAGGTCCACAACCCAGTTAGCTACATAATATGGAAAATGAGTATAATGCATGAATCAACTGACATCACACTTATCTTTCTTTGTTGGTCATATATATAGGACAACACCGACATTCTTGGACGGAGCTGGAGCAATTAGGCAGTGGGGGAAAAATTGCAAAAGAGATTACAACACATTATGTAATTGCTTTTTTTTTCTATGAAATGTGCATAAGAGCTAGAAGTTGAACAATTAGCAGGTAACTTAGTACAAAGGGATTTGCTTTATTTCAGATAATCTTGTGGATGCCAAAAAGAGAGCTAGTTTGGATTATCAGAGCAAAATGTGGGTCAAAGCCTAGAACTTATGAATGAATCAGTTTTCTTATAAGAAGAGAAAATATACTAAAATTTTAAATATCAAATTACAGTGGGGGCAATTGCCTCCACTACATAAGCTGTGGCGCCATCCTGACGAGATTAGGCAATATACAAAAGATCCTTTATGATCTAGTACTGCAGAAGCTAGGACTATCAATAAATTGATGAGCGGCTGGGGAAATCACAAAGGGTTAACCACGACAGTCAGATTCCTCTAACAGAGTAGACAGGTGAAAACCATTTACTGGGAGAATCGCACCATTAGACATCAGTAAAAGAACAGAAATCCATCACTTGAAATAATTTCCACTTAGCTCCGATTGCAGTTGTATCACTTTTCTGTATTTTCTAAAATCATATTAAATCATTTATGAATTTACAGTCGCATTCAAAAATTAGTGGTTCCCATCATCCTAAATCCTTATTAGCCAGATAGACTAAATCTGCCTTAAACAAAGAAATATGGAGTAATAAGTACTTCAATCATTAGCTACATATAGGTTTGTTTAAACAGTTGGTCGTTTGAGAGTAGACAAATAAGACCCATTTAATAGAAAAACAGCACTCCTAGACATATGGGAAAGAGCAAAATCCCATCTTTTAAAAAAATCTGCAAGTTCCTCCAATTAAGGTTATCACTTTGGTATGTCGTTTCAGAATGCACATTGAATGATTCACAAATATAAAGTCACATTTTAAAAGCTAATGGTTCTGATTTCTCTTAAATCCCGGCTTTTGTAATTAATTTAAAGTCTTTACATTAGCTAAATGATCTGCATTCAACAAAAAACTATGGAGCAATAGGTACATTGATCAGCAGCTACATATAAGTTTATAGAACAGGTTGGGTGTTTAGGCGATTCAACCAAACTGCATACTGTCACCATTCTTTCTTATGAAGGGACCAAGTGAAAACATCACTTGGAATCTATTCTAGGTCCAGGAAACAGACCAGATATTTTTATGCTATACTATAACCAAAGACAATCTGCTCAGCTGATACATATGCTTTTTTAGGCATCTAGGAAATATAGGGAAAAAAAGGAAGAGAAATATGGGATGGAGCAGCAATGCACTTACGTCTTTAGATCAAGGGTTGACAATTCTTCAATAGGAGTCAATCTTCTCTCTGATGACCCTGAAAGAAGAAAATAGCAAAAATTTTAATTCATCATTTTTCCACTGAAGCGTGTACAAAGAATGAGTAGAACAAATATTAATAAGAAAAAGAGTTTAGAAAAGAAGGGCACTTAAGCACAAAACAAAGGATAATGGGCGGGGGAGTACTTGAAAATATACTTGTGACCTAGCATCAGAGCAAAATTAAACAGAACCTTGCGAATTAGGACATTTTCTAACCTAACCCCATAAACCATTCTCCACAGCATTAACTCCAAACACAAGGCACACCCAGTCCATCCGCATATATGACACAAACCCCTATATAAATCTAATGTATTTCAGGAATATGGTAAATTCAACAGAGGAACCAAGTGAGTGTGAGAATAAGCTCGAAAGATGTGGAAACCCAGAAGCATGAGCTATATACCTTCTGAACAATCTGGTCTATATCTTGCTGTTCTATACTTCTGCAATAAAAGTTAGAACAACTTAAACCAACAAAAAGAAGAGAGTTCAATGAAAAAGAACAGAGGATTTATAGTGAAGATCTCAACCGGAGAAATTTAATTTGACCAGAGAAAAAAAAGTCACGCACCTGTAAGTGGCTTTTTACATGATAGATCGTCAGCCCTTCAACTTTCATGAGTTTTAGCACACCCTTAGGTGTGGCTCCTGAAACATAAGTTAACAGAATGAACAATTGACTCTTGGTAACTTCTTAATATTAGATATCCATAGCTTGGACAATGACATACGTTCACTGCCACCGAGTTTACTGACAGCCTCCACAAAAGCCTCATGAAGTTCTGGTGTCCAGCGCATACGTGCCTTGGCTGCAGTACTATTTGCCGTGGATGAAGAGTTGTTGGCAGTATGGATATCGCCCGATGAAGCAGGAAGCTCTTGATGTAATCGTGTCTGATGTGCTGAAAGACTTGATGGTGATTTGTTGACCCCGCATGCCATCTGCAGTGACACAACAAGCAAGTTAAAGAATTAGAATCACCAAAGTTGCCAATATTGTCAGCATGCTTTCCAACCTTTGATTCTGGATTAGAGTAGTTGGTTTCGCCAAGAAGCTCATCCCAATTTGGTGTCAAATCGTCATCTTCATTGATTAGCTGATCTGCCCATTCCTGCCAATTGTTTGGTTTACTTAAGTCCTCAGATGCCAGGACACCAATCCCATCACCACTTTCCATCTCATTGTTCTGAAAGGGAGAATTCACGGGAAAATCATATATGCATGGTAATGCATCTGAACCCCAAGATGCCTTCTCATTGTTAGCATACTGTGTTGAAGCTTCAGCTTGAAGAAGCTCAGCATCAGCAGAAGATTTTATTATATAAGTCGGTCTACCACTTGTTGACTGAGAAATAAAGGGAGCACTTCCTGAATGCTTTTCCGGAGGAGCAACAGATGAGTAATGAAGACCCGTTGAGTATCCAGAGGTCGATGAACACATATGACCAACTGCCCCACCACTGGACTGCAGAGGAGTTCCAGGAGATAGAGAACTTGACATGGTAACCTGATGAGAATCTGGAAGCTTGGGATATCTCTCTTCAAAATGAGTTGGAAGAACCGGAGAGGATGAAGACATTACTCCTGAGGCCCTCACATTATTCAGCTGCTGCATACCAGGTTTTGGAAGCGAATAAGTATGGCTTGCTTCCATTATGCTCCTACAATCAAGAAACATAGATAAAATCAGTTTGCAACTAACTGAGTAGTGTAATGTGTGTAATATGGCAAAAATGTAGCACGTTCCCGCCGGCTTCTTTCCTCAATCTTTATATGCACCGGACAAGCTCATCAATTTGGACACAAAAAGGCATGAAAAAGGCCTTATGTCAACTCCATGATAAAATTTCTCAATTGGTAAGCTTATCAGCAGAGGATACGATCTTTAGTGAAAACATTAAGTACTGAGAAATTAGGAAACTGCAGCCCAAGCCTATAAACAAATTAAGTTCCACAGTCAAAAGATATTACCGTTGTCATCAAAGAATTTGACAAAGTGCACTAGTGAATGGGAAGCATAATTTTTCAGCTGATTGAGCCCTTTTGGTGGCAAATCAGCCAACAAACTCATACTATTTTACATCACAATCCCCAGTGAAAACATATTGCTACTTGTAAGAGCCGAACCAAACAGAAAGTATCGCTACTAGAGAACTCTGCTTTATTATATTGTACTTATCTCAGGTCGATACACCAAGATAAATGAAAAGACACGAATGAATAGCCAGACACCGGTTGAAAGCCATCAGAGACTAACCACATTCTTCAAACTTAAAGCAAATAGTTGAAGCCCACCCATCACTACAAGTCTACATTACCATCACACTTGGGTCACGGGAGGGAATAGGAAAGTAATGCAGTAACAGTTCCCTGGGAATATAAATATAAACATATCAAAATAGGCATGGATCTTAACAAGAAGACTGATAAGCATATGATAGAATTTCCATCAAGAATAAACCCGGAATGAAATGGTTCTTCCACTGTCCCACTCATATTGCAGCCCGGACATTCATCCTAGTGGGCTGGTATTGGACATGTGGTGGCATCAATAAATGGACTCGAATCTCACTCTACCAAACGGGAATATTCTCTTTATCCATTCACCAAAAGGAGAAGAATACTGACTTTTAGTTGACAACCTACATGGTAAGCTAACTGACATTTGTGAAAATGATTCACCCATGAATTTGACAGGCACAACTAAATTGTTCCGCTCGAGGGTGAGCTATGGACTCCAAAGTCCTTCAAGGAAGGTGCCCGCCGTGGACTTCACGCCTTAAAAATGCAGGCTTTGGGCTCGAAGAGCTTCAAAATAACGACAACGAACAGCAAAATTTCTCAGACAAAGACTTTGAAAGAAGAAAGCGGATATGAAAGGTTTTTTTTTTCCCAAACTCTGTTCTCACGAAGTCACAAGAACAACCAGCGACAGTAATCCGAGACAGAAATTGTTCCACTGAATTATCCGACGGCAACGTTTGCCCGAGTCTCGGCTTCACCTAGGACTCAGAAAATGAAAAAAAAAAAATTTCAAGGCGGATATCGCGCGCGAACACTCGCGGACTCCATTCACAACCACAGCTCAAACAGAATCGAACGAAAGCTTGAAGAAACTCCATCCTGTTCTGCTACCACAAGCACCCTACCTCGCCCGTCCGCGATCAATCTCCTCGAGATTCGACCCGAATTGCAGCCGAAACCGACCGAGCCGCCGAGCGATCGGCCATTGCTCCTCGCCGCTCCCCGGAGAGCCTCGGTCACGGCGGCGGGAGGAGAGGGGAGGGGAGGAGGGGCCCGGCGCGCGGTGGTGGATGGCGGAGAAGCTCGCCGGCTCCGGCTTCGCGGCGTCGAGGGCTGTTCGCAGTTTCCGCCACAGGCCACCCCCTCCGTCGTTGATCTCTAAAGCAATATACAGGGGTGTCTCTCTCTCTCTCTCTCTCTCTCTTCCTATTATTCTGTTCTCCTTTCCTGGAATTTTAGGCCTCCCCCAAATTAATGCAAATACTTTTAAAAAGCACTTCTTTTTTATCTCAACAGTAAGAAAAATATATAAAAAAATAGTTAATACCACGAGAACCTCACAAACTGATACACTCGTGATCAATTTACTCTAAACTACCATAAACTAGTACACCGTTAACAAATTTACTCTCCGTTAGTTTCGGTTAATTTTTACCGTCGAATTACTAAATTGGATAACACGTGATAGTTGACGGGAATACGGGTTTGAGGTTTTATCTTCATTTGTCACATGTGTACCATCTTGTGGTTTTTCGTTATATTAATCCAATTTAACGGAAACTAACAAAGAGTAAATTTTTCGCAAATGTACCAATTTGAGATTTTTGGTAGTCAAAAAATTAGTTTATGATAAATTTGTCACGGATATACCAGTTTTAGGGTTTTTTGGGTAAATATGAGATTTTTTGTGATATTAATTAATGGTCCAAAAAAAAATTGAGGTAACTCATATTTAAAATGTGAAAGGACGTAAGCTAAAATAAAATTTTTAAGAATGACAAATGTTAATTCAACTTTTCCACTACTATAATGAAGAGGCCTCTTGAGGAAAAAAAAATGGAAGCTAACTTATTTTAAAAAATTCTATGTGAATGAAGCGGCAAAATAAAAATCAGCACATAAATTAAAAAAAATGCATTTAAACTAAAAGCAGAGCCTACTTTCTGTGTAAAATTTGGGTCAAATAAAAATATAAACCGAAGGATAGGGAAAAAAAATTTTAGGGTCGTTGAGGGAATTATCAGATGCTCATAAATTTCGAAAATGATTTTTTGGTTGAAATCGCACGACATTTGGAAATTTATTTTTTTGTCGTAAATTTGGAATTTGATAAGAAATCATGACATATAAAGCTCTGTGAGCTATCACTATCCTAATGTTAAGTGTTGCCAGAATAAGCACTCATTCCATATGGGATTCGACAAAACCCTTTCTTTTGCTCTCGTATCTTATAGTTCCCTCATAAGATGCAATTGCATGGTGATCGAGCAAGTGTCTCTTTTGAGATAACCCGATCGATGAAAATCAAAAAGAGGAAAGAAATCGATGCTCATAGACGTGTGAGTTGATACCATCGCATATTCACCTATTAATCGGCTTCTTTTTAATCGGGAGGGCAGATGAAGCTGCACACAAAAACTTTCACCAATAAAAAAAAAAGAGAGAGAGAGAACAGAATTAGTCGTCGCAAATTGGACAAAAGAACAATCTCATTATTTACAAGAATGCTAATTTTTTTGTAACAGAATTGCGAGATATATACAAAATCACCAGCATCAACTTGATAAGTTATATAATTTTATGTAATTGTATTTGAATATTTGCTCATGGTCATTAAAATTTATTAGTATTATAAATTTAACAATACCATAATTATTTAGATAAAATTAATGATCATGTTATAAGATAATTATGTCTGCTTGACCAGTAAATTGCCAGCCTAGATTTCAATTTTTGTACTGGTCATGAAAAAATTTAATAAATTTGATATTCTGTTTTTAGTTCTTTTTTCCTTGACCGATAAAAAGAAAGACAAAGGACAAAGAAAAAGGAAAAGGAAAAAGAAGGTTATTTTTTTTCCGACAACGGCGTCGTTGCGGTGCGGCTCAGCCCCTCTGTCGCCGCCATAACTCCTGCGCGAAGAGAAAAAAGATCAGAGCTTTCTCGAAGCCGCAGCTTGCGTCGCTGTCCGTGGTGGCTCTGCTCCCTGAGAGATTCATTGGAGAAGAAGAAGGAGAAGAGGAAGAAGAAGGAGAAGGAGAAGATGTTCAAGAAGGCGCTCGAAGCTAAGACGCAGCAGAGGCTGTCCGGCGCCGACAAGAAGAAGCTGCGGCGGGCCGTCAGGGACAAGTTCCCCAGGTGCTCCGACTCCGATCTCGACGCCCTCCTCCCTCCTAAAGTGAGCTCCTCCTCCTTCCACGTCCTCCTCCTCCGACGTCGTCTCCTTCTTTTCGATTCCTTTATTCTTAATGAAAACGTTTGAGCCCGATTGGGTTCTGGCGGATGTCGTTTCGGATTCCGCCTTCCGATGGAGGAGGGGTCTGCTTGTTTGGTGGATGAGTTTGTGTTTTTCTGAGTCGGTTCCGATTCGCAATGCCGCGTTGAAGTGGCGTTTTCCGGCTCTTTGGCGCGGCGGATTCGATTGCGATGTCGGTTCGGGTCCCCGGGTGTTGGTTTGTATTGCTGCTGCATTGAACTCGCGAGGCTTCTTTTAGCTTACTGCTACGCGGTTGCTTTCAGGCGACACTGAACCGATGAAAGATGTGGCAGTGCCGAAGAAAAATTGGATTTTTACCGAAAAACTGCGTGTATGATGGATGAAATCATCCTACTTAATTGTTCATCCCAAGGATGTTTGCAAGTTGAACGATAAGTGGACAATTCAAAAAGAAGAAGAAAATGGTGATTTGCGATGTTTACAAGCAATTGAAAATCATGGGCACTTCATAGTTTTCGCTAAGAGTGTGCAAACTGCTGATCTGGAAGATATAGCTTCCTAATCCTTTTTGAAAAGATGTGTGTCACGGAGTTCCTCCTTGGGTAGCCTAGCAACATGGCATTTGTTTGATCAAATGAGAGAGCTTGCTACACCTACGAAGATCAAAAGAACGTGAACGTTACTCGCCGACCAATCTCCGAGAAATGACCAAATTATATTTACATTTTGAACTTTCATTCAAATTACTAGTGACTTAAAGAACTTATCACATCGCTTTAATAGTGCACTAATCGAGCGTAGGTGTCCCTCTGGCATGTTTATTCTAGGCCGAGATGATGGTTGCAAAGCTTCAAAACCGAGTGCATGTGTACAGTGTGGAAGGCGAATTTCCAATGTTCTTTGACATTGATGGAAGAGGCTCGGAAATATTTCCTTCAGGTAAGCATTTATATGTCCGCACTTTTTTGCTAGAAATGAGGTTTGTTTTCTTCCGAATTTGCCATTATGTGTCCTGCTAAACTTACTGCTCAGCTTTCAAGGCTTCATTACTGACAGCACCCTCTTAATGAAAGTTCACGTTACCAAAGATCACACAATTGTTTGGGCCATTGTTTTTGCTCAATCTCCACTCTGTAGAACCATATATCTGTCCGTGATTGTTTATGATTTTTTATTTGAATCAAGTAAATGAAGCCTATATTAATGTTATTTGGGTTCTTTTAGGACAGTTAGCTATTGGTGGTGAAAGATTTCTTCTTGTGTTGAGGTGGTTTTTGAGTTTTTTTATGGGGTGCTGTGGCTTAAGCATTGTACTATTGGATTATGCCACTGCTCATATTCTTTACTCCTAATATTTTTTTTTTAAAATTGAGTGTACGGATGCATACATTAGACCCAAAGTCATCCGACCCTTCCCCTGACGCTTTGCATGGCGACGCTTCTGCACGTAGCTGCCCTTTATATTCACACAGCTAGTTCAAGGTGCTTGCTTAAGAGATTTCATTGCTTAGAAGCTGTGAAAGTATAGAACCTCAAAAGAGGAAAGAAGGGAATAGGAAGGAGCAGAAAGCTTCAAAATATCAGTACACCTTGTGGAACATGAGATCTTGACCTATAGTATATCATTGCAATTAGTAATCTGTGTCCTTGAAAATTTTGCATGATTTGATGGTTCTGCTTTTATTGCTGCAGTCTATGCTCTTTGGAGAGTCCCTGAAATTGTACCTGCTTTCCTACTCAAGGGAGGCGAAGTATCTCGCTTTATCATTGGTGGAGCAGATTTGATGTTTCCTGGAATTAGTGTGCCTCCTGAAGGCCTACCTTCATTTGCAGCGGGGGAGATATGGGCAGTTAAAGTCCCTGGCAATCCTGCTCCAATAGCTGTGAGTGTCTCTTTAGATTTTCTCATGACCTTTCGTTTCCTTGCTGTTATGCTATTCTCTTTGTGTTAAATACCAATCCAAACTTAAACAGGTGGGAACTACCACAATGAGTAGCAGTGAAGCCTTGAAAGCTGGTTTACGTGGAAAGGCTTTGAGAATAACCCATCACTATCGGGACCTCCTTTGGTAAGTATTTCCAAAAACTAATTTTGGGCTTAATCGAGTTATACAATTTTCAGGTTATCTTATCATTTTGTCTGGAACGTAATTAGGGAGACTGCTGAGGGCCGGTTTGCTCCAAATGCCGGTTTCTTGGAGGATGTGGTGTTTGAAGACCCTGCTTTCTTATCATCTCACCAGGAGTCAACTGCTTGTGAAGGTCAAAGCGAGGTTTCAAATGATCAAGAGGATGGTGCTGAAGATGAAGACATGACTGAGTCTGTTAATGAAATGAATCCTGACTCTATTCAGATGAGAAAGATGGATGGTAGTACTGAAAGTTCAGATAAATTAGTTGCAGATATTGGTACTTTGACGGTTGCAGATGATGTTTCTGCTGAGGGATCAAATGTTGAAGACCAGCATAATTTCACATCTGCAGATGTAGATGCACTTCTTGACAAATGCCTCTTGCAAGCCCTGCATACAACCATCAAGGACAAAGACCTTCCGATGCCTGGAAGCACATTATGGTAAAGAATCCTAACATTCCCAGCCCCATGGACAAGAATCTGCTGGATCTTAGTTTGGCTGTGTTTAGATGCCTCTCAAACCTGTTTGGGTCGCTTATGCACCTTGTGACAAAACTGTGAGTTTTAGCTTTTTGGGAGAACTAAGTCACTCATGGATCCATGCCTTATGTTGATCCATATGTCTGGATTTGTTAGGTACCATGCTGTGCATTTCTGACCGGGCTCTATTCTGGTGTCTACTAGTTGCCTTATTTGTTTGCGTGTTTCTAGAGTATGATCCTAGTTGTTTTACTCCACAGAAGCAGAGTAGACTCTGTATTGGTTTATGTGAATGTAGTTGCTATGGGTCCAATATTCACCTGGTAGTAAATTGTGCATAGCAATATGAAACCTGCATAATATCATCATATCCAGTTTTAGGAAACATGAACTAGTATGCCTTGTGGTTGAGAGTATAGTATCATCACTTCTCTCGCTATTCTGTGTGAGACGTCTAGCTAAGTTTAGATTGCATTCATAACTTTTTAGGTCCTAGTTTATTCCCAAGCAGAATTGTTTTGCTTTTTATAGTTGATTTGTATATTCTAGCCTAATCTGGCTGAATTATATTTTATGCTTGAAAATGAAAAAGATAGAGGATTTCTATGGATAGCAGAGTATGTCTCTCTCGATGCTGTTTAACAGTCAGTTGAGGAACAAGGAGATTGATCTCTTTCAGGCAACCTGCGAATTAGGAGTTCTAATGATCGAAGAGTATTATATCCAAGAAAATTAGAAAGCTGGCTTGACTGAAAGCCTAAGATGCTTATGATGTTATAATATCTTGATTTTCCGTACTCATTATCCTTGCTTTAGCAAGACTTTATGATCATCTGCTCTTTGCCATACCCATGTCGATGTACGTGCCAAATTATTTTGACATTTCACTGGATGTATTTTACTTGGGACATGTTTTACTTTCTTCTTATGTGATTGCTGCAGGTCAAACCATGTATTGCCTTGTAGGCCTCAAGGTGTCACTCTTGATATCAAGAAGTCTTCATACAAGAAATTGTCAAAGTGGTTGCAGGCGAAATCAACTGCCGGACTGGTGTGTATACCTGCACTGTTAGTGAGCTTTAAGTTTGTTCTAGTGCTAAAGCTCTATGATTCCAACATGTGCCCGGTAGTATATCTTTAATTTACATGGCTTTTAGCAATATCTATCATCTTTCACATTTATTGCTTCAATAGCTGTTCAGTCGGGGAATAGTTGTGAACTTAGTGCAAAAAGGTCTCTTCTGTTGTAGTTTTTTGGCTTGCTCTTTTTTTAAGAGGACAAATGAGGCTCTTCTTTGGCCTTTGCACCGCTAAATGTATGCCTGTATGATTAATTTCGTATGACCTTCTCTGGTTCTTTGGACAGGTTTCTGTAAAAGAAGATAAATATAAGAAGGAAGTAGTATTATTAGGAGTTAATCGAAATCATCCTGATTACTCAGCATTCAGACCAGAAAAACGGCCTGTGGAGAAAAGTGACCAAGTTGGTGATCATGCTGCAAAGGAAAGTCAGTCAGATAAAACTCTTAATGTGGTGGAGGTCTACAAACCAAGTGTGCATGTCAATGCCATTTTCACTTCTGTAGGAGCTGATAGGGGAAAACTCTGTACTGCTTCAGAAGCAACTGATATTGTATTTAGATACGTTGAGCAAGAAAATCTGGTTAAGCCAACAGACAGGTCCACTGTGGTGTTGGATGCCATACTGTGTGATGCACTGTTTAAAGGAGCCATAAAGAAAGGATCAATGTACCCGTCGGAAATTCATAAGAAAGACCTGGGATCAACATTCATTAGCCGCATGCAACCACATCACGTAGTTACCAGAGGAAGTGATTCAGTTGTTCGTAAGGGTGCCTTGAAAGCTATTCAGATAATGACAGAACGAAGGCAGGGTAACAAAAAGGTTACGAGACTATCTGGTCTCGAAGCATTTTTAGTGGATCCAGAAGCATTGGCATCGGAGCTGCAGAAGAAATTTGCCTGTAGCACAACAGTGGCTGAACTACCAGGTATGCTACTTCTAGGTACTCTGTTGTATAAATAAGCAGTTTCTACTGTCATATTCTACTTATGGCAGGCCAGAGAAAACATGTCGGTAGGACTTTGGCAATCAGTTTGCCTTTCACTGCAGAAATCAAAATCTTACTTGTGTAATTGGCTTGGCTGAGCTTATCCTAACAATAGGAAGTAGGAGTTCAATAGACTGCTTCTCTTCCATTTCAAAAAAAAAATTGAAACCTGGTGCCTTGGTTTGTGAAAGCTGCCAGTTGCATTATGCTCTCACGTGCAGCTCGTCTCAATGAGGAAACAAAGAAAATCTATACCCTGTGAGAAGCAAAAACTGCTGTAATTTGGCGAGGCAGAAAGAAAGTTTTTTGTAAGCACAAAGACTTTGTTATGCCCTGGCCTTGGATTGTCTCGTGTTGATGGAATCAGCCTAGGAGCAGCTAAATCATGCAAGTAAAGAAATCTGAAATAGTGGCATCTTAGGTTCAGAAAACATTAGGCTTTGGATTTGGATTTGATATCATCCTGCAGGCTATTTTGGCGACCTCCTTTGCATTACGCAGATGTTAATATTATCTTGAAAACCGTTCGATTTCATGTTTATCTAAGTCGGATGTGGTTGACATCTCAGGTAAAAAGGGGTACGAGGTTTTGGTCCAAGGTGGTGTGATTGATGATCTGGCGAGACATCTGATTGAACAGTACGGAATTCCAAAGAGGTATATGGAAGTTCTTGATAAGACAAAGAAATAAGGAGAGAATTGGTCAGTCCGCCGTGGCGGTACACTTTACATGTTGTTCCTTTATGAATAATGTTGCGAAATGATGTCTGAGGGTGCACTATTCTGTGAGATCAAGCGTCTGTTAACGAGGTCGACCTTCTCTATTGCCTTGTAATTTTGGCTTCATTTCAATTTCTTTAGATTTTCAAGTTTGTGGCTTCTGAGTTTTGATATGGACATGGATTGGAACTAGTAAGTAAAACCATTTATGCTCCTGGAGCACCTTATGGCCATACACCAAGTCAATGATGAAGCACCCTGTTATGAACTCCTGTATTTGTTCTTCAAAGAAAGATGTTACCTGGACTCTTGGAGCGCTTAAATCTCTTGCAGCCCCTTTATCGCATTAATGGAATTAGATTATAATGTAATAATCATTATGCTGTAAGGTTTAAGTGATGTAATACATGCTACACTATTTGATTTTATGAACGACATATATAATAAGGGCAGGATAGCATCAGAATTTCCAAGTTCCTCTTAAAATATAGAATCAGATGGAATATGATAATTATTACTTTAATAGTTAATCATGATTCATGAGTTTAATTATTCTCATATTAGTATAATTTATCATATCAAATATGTATTTATGGTAATAATTCATTTAATTACAAGTGAAGCACATAACAAGTGATTCTCTTAAAATATAGACTATGCTGTAGTAATAATCACTTTAAGCCAAAATCATGAGTGTAATGGCCCAAATAAATCATCAATATATCACGATTTCATATATAGATTTGCGTCCATTATTCAATTTTATGATTTAAATTTAATCATATAATATGTGATTATATTAATAGAATTGCGCAACTAATGATTTGATTGAAGAAGCTAGTATATAACAATTTGAGCATTACTAGATATGATTAGTAATTAAGATAATTATGGGATATATAATATTTTACTGTGAAAATTTAGGTAATCATACCTAGTAAGCAAATAATTATGCTAATTATTCGATTATGTCAAAATAATTATAATTGGTGCTATCATTACAAAAAATAAATAACTATAGTTACAATTAATATAAATTCTAATTCTAATTTATCATCTTATAGTGCTGAAGTGAGTCAAAGAAAAGAGACGTTGGGAACTAGCATGTAACGGTTATTATAGTTTTGACTATAATAAGGATTACGATGTAATAGCTATTACTGTAAGTAAACACTGTAATAGGCAGTCAACCTGTAATAAACATGTAATGTATAGCTATTACTGCTACCAATTTTTTTTGTATTTTAGTGCTGATTGCCCAATTAAGGTGTCAATTCTTTGTTAAGTGTCGTCAACTATTGAAGAGAATTGAAGGCGTGTGAATGATCGCGCGAGCTCTTCGAGTTCTATTCGGTCTGATTAGATATGTCGCAGCTTATGCTCATGCATCAAGACCTAACAATCTTCACGATCACTTGTTAGCTGGATGCTGCTTATCCATTGTGTATTATCTAGATTGGAGGATTTTTGGAATTTTTGGTGCGTTTCTTTTGCGAAAAAAAAACGACTGTCGGAAAATCATTTCCTCATTTTGCCTCATTTAGCATCACTAAGAAAATGCACCAACAGATAATATTTTCATGCGCAACAATTGAACTTGTTACCTAACTTGAGATCCCAACTACAGGAGCCGAGTGCCGAGTGCTCAAATCAAGATCCCCGTGTCCGAACCCGAGTCCTTGCTCGCCCCGTGAGCTAGGACCTATGTCGTTGGTTCGTCCCCTCCAGAAAACGTGTCAAATAATTTGAAAAAAAATATAATGGATCGAGTCAATGCTAATAATCAATCCGAGTTCTTAGGATTGATATCGGTCCATCGGTAGATCACGGAATGTCGATGATCTTGTCTGTGTAATGATGGGGAGTCTGCTTCGACATCATCCACCCCGCATCTGCCTTACCATCATATACTTCAACAAGAATCCCACGATGATCTTCTCGTCTATGCGTATAAAACATTGCAAAATAGTACAGTACTGTAATTATTACCACAAAGAAGGTTCTCAGATTGAAATACCTTCCGATTAAAAATCAGTTTCATAGACAAACAAAAACACAGGTAAATCTACCAATTCCTTCGTGCATAGCACTGGCTATTTAGCTAGCTTTATAGAAAGAGATATGCTACATCGCATCATACCTATAGTGGTAGAACATTGCAAAGAGACTTAGAGCAACACGAGATACATTCTAAAAGACCTTGAATGAGACTCAATTTATCACCGTGTCAACTATAGTATACCGTGATGACAACATGCTGGCATGACAAACATTTTATACCCGAATCAGTACTAGTTGAACACAGCAGGGTTCTGCATTCTTTCATTGAGTCAACAACGAATGTAGCAGTATATGTTTACATACTCAAGACGACCTCCCTCTCATACAACATCAACCTCAGTCATTGGCATGGCAAACTAAAGAAGCTAACACTAAGAAGGCTAAGGACTTCCTTTTTTACAGGCAGAAAAGGACGGTCTTGAGGTGGTGTTGCATTGCATTGACAAAGAAATCAAATCAGAAGGTTAGCTCTCCAGGACTCGAAGCCAGGTCAGAGCCAAGAAATTGATCTAGCCCACCAATCCATAATCTCCTGAAGGGTAGTACTTTGAGGACTTCACTGACAGTTCAAAGCTGAAAGCAGAATTGACATCTGGAAGATTAGAACCAGATATTTGTACCACAAACGAGCAAATGCAAATAGATCGGGAAAGAAAAATTCATGGTCCAATCCCAAAGTTTTTCTTATCAGTTCAATCTTAAAGTCTATGCATCACAAAACTTAAATAGACCCACTATGATAGCCTGGCATGATACTCTTCGTTCAACTTCCGCATGCCAGTTAACAGTATTTATGCCCTAAAATTTTAAGAGCCTAAGATATAAGTTTGTTAACTATATCCTGCTACACGTGATTTCAAAAATTACCTGACTGCCAAAATGCATGTGGCCAACCGACCTATCAGCCAACAATCATCACAAAGACCACTTGAAAAGCCATTTGTAGGTGAAACTTTCCTTGTATGAAGACTGTTAATGCACTCAACTGGTCGGGGGAAGCTATACTTGGAGGGAAGAAGCTCTGCTTAAACAGGCAGACCAAAACCTCATTCATCAATGCCACCAAGCCACAACTGAGGCCCACGAACGTGAAAGATATGAAGACACCATATCCTCTCAGTAAGTTCACCTAGAAATGAAGCATGAATTTTGTTCAAAGACACAACTTTATTTGTTAGAACAATTAACACTTCGAGCAAATGCCCTGATCTGCAGGGAACAAAATCATCGGTTACATTTGGAGGACCTAAAGAGATATTATACGTGTGAGATTTATTGCAAGCACGATAAGACATTTGGAAACTAAACTAGGCCTTGCAGCATGAAGCCCATATGATGAGGAGCATGTGGGTTCAACTGGCTCTCTCGAATCATGCACTGGAAGGAATATTGTACTCCCCAAAATCACGTATATAAGCAACTAATTAACTGCAAGCACAAGGAAGTAAGAAGAGATGGCTGCATATACTCACAATCTTTGTGCTCCTTCCTTTCTTGAGTGCAACTACAACACCTACAAGGGAAAGGTCATGCAATTGTTTAGATCAACAAATTCATCTCCACAAATTCATAAAGTTATCTTTTCCTGGCTTTGGAAAGAAATCTAAGAGTAATGGATCTGAATGACTGGGAAAAAAAGTGAAGTTAGAATTACAAACCTTAGCATCGGAGAATCTTCTTTAAGCTGAATCTCAATCTGGCTCACGTAGAATCTGAACAGAGGTGACCTGCCAGGGTAACAGTCATTCTGAGTCTCACAAAAGAGGAGGCTTGACTTATAAAAAAACACTTTACCTAGTGAAGCTCAATAAATACAAAGATTATCAGTGTCACCATTCAGAACGTTAAGTGTGTATACTTTTCTGATAAAATCGCAGACAACGATAACTCGGAGATAAACAGTTTGAAGAAAAAGATGCTCAGATTACCAGGAAGGAATTGCAGCTGCTGACAGAGCAGGTGGTACCATCCACAGCAGACGAACTTGACCATCCAATATATTCATAAGATGATCAAGGATGCGACCTTCCTGCTTACATTAAAGCAACACTAAGCAACCCCAACTTCGATGGTAGTAAAAAGTTTAGTTTCTGGAACTACAGAAGAGGAGTAAGAACATCATGTGACAATCACACTGTCTCACTAATACCGAAATCGCATCATTTATATCCCTCTATTTCATTTCATGAGAACCAGAGGCCTAAGAGGCCAGTTTCCAGATTGTATTGTATGAGGAGGTTAATAACTGTATTGCTCTTATTTTTAAGGTGTTACGGGGGGTGTTGTGATGAGATATAGGATTGAGGGAGGGCAGTGGAATATAGAAAAAAAAACGAATGATGATCCATATAAATAGTATCATTCCTATTATCAAGTTATTCATGACAAAGACTATTACTAACTTTATTGTCCGAGTTCAATCAAGTTGTATATCATAAGGCAATAGAGTTCAGCAACTTTTGAGTGGTGGTCAACCACAAATCCAATGGAAAATGGCAGATCAAGTGGAAGCAGCAGCTGTCAACAAACTATGAAGGAGCAGCTGCTGACCTGTAGTGTTGATGTAACTGATAGGTCTCTTTCATAGCCAAAGCAACCGATTTCAATGACAAAAGATGATAAAGTTGAACAGCAGTCACACAATCTTTCATACCCAAAGCAACCGATTTCAATGACAAAAGATGATCAAGTTGAACAGCAGTCACACAATTGCAAAATATTGAAACTTAACCCAGCATTCACAAATTCCATGAATTAACTTGTTAGCATAAGCAGTTGACATGAAGATCTTACAAAATTATCATACCTTTGAGTGCACCATCTTCTCTTTTAAAACTAAATTTTGAGATCTTTCTGAAAGCAAGTTGCAAACTTCTGAAAATCTTTGTGAACTAGCGAAGGAATCACAAGAAACTGACTGAAGATGTTTGATTACTGAGCTCCATCTTCTGGTAACACATCCTAATAAAAGAAGTTCCTACAAAGAAGAGGAAAGGGAAGATCATTGCCAGTAAAAAAGGGAGGAAAAAGGCTCTAAGTCCACATTGATGTATTTTTAGTACTTTAGCTTCAAGAGGATGTTCCACTTAAGGATCAGTCCATCATTCCTTCATATTTAATTATCTCATTATTAGTGAACAAGGAAAGATATTATCTAAATGGGTAAATAGATTGACCTTAAAATTTATTACTTTTATTGCTTCTGTGTGCATCTACTCAAATTTATGTAGAGATCATCTCTAGTCTTGAAGTGAATGATCCATAAAATGGATTAATTAGACAATATTGGAAATCTCAGAGAGCATGATCATTCAGGTACCAATAATCTGGCACTTCCAGAAGAGAGGAAAAACGTACTATTTTGTCAGACAATCTGCCAAGATTTCTCTCTTCTGACATATTCAGACGTTCAAAAACTTGCAACCACTGTGTTTGAGAAGCAGCAAATATCATGCTGGCACCAGATACCAGTCTGATAGTTCTCTTATCGACAAAATATGTGAGGCTCCTTGTTTTCCAGCGATACCAAATTCTTACCTCGTCCAATTGATCAGTATTCCTGAATGACAACTCAAATTTCTCAATGTGAGGCCAAGCTAAAGTCAGTGCTGCAAACTAGCAAGCAGGCGGTTTCAGGTAAAGCATTCAGCATCCATAACATTGGCATACAGACATTTAAACACGCTGCACCTATGTAAAAGTTCTTTAACAGTAAAACCCAAGCACCATCTGCTAATAGTCACCACGTAATGCAATCTAATTGCAAGAGCAGACGCACTCCACCTAATTTTTGAAGTTTGCTGAGCTGTGAAAATCCACAATGCCATGGTCTGCAGTCACCTAACATATTTTGCGGAGATCTTTTCTCTGAATAGGGCAGAATAAAATTGGACTGCCTTGTCCAAATGCAATGGGTACTCTGTGGCTCATACATTGGCCCGATGTGATGGCTCCACCAGAAAAATAAGTTCTTCAAAGGAGGATGTAGTGATATGACTGTCCTAAGCTCAAGGAATAGTCAACTTATACAAATAAAAAACAAAAAGTAGCAACTTAAAACTAACACGATCACAAAAACCAACAGAATGGCACTACCTAACTTAAACTAATGTTCAGATTTCTTCTTACCACTGATGTTAGGGTACGTAATGAAGCAATCAATTATTAAAGACAACAAGGAATTAACTGAAGGGTTTCAACAAACTTCCTGTTAAACTTTTAAACATCAACCGACATCTTTATCAAAAAAAAGAAAACCGCTTACATGCCACCCACCTTGAAGCTCCATCATGTGTTAGGTGCTCCCTAGCAATGCTTTGGTCGCACCAAGTCAGCTGACTGCTACTTACAGCTTTAGAGATAACAGCCAAGCTTTTCTCTGCTGAAAATATACACGAAACGGCAGACTGCCTTTTCAGAAGCTCTTGGATGCAAGAGCTCGTCCCGTTCTGCTTACCACGCTCTTCAATCTCATTATTTGCTATGTCAGCGTGATTAAAAGGTGAAAACTTCTCAGAACAATCGCCGTCGTGAAGTGAGTCAAGAGAGGTATTCTGCAGGCTCAACGTGTCCAGGTATCTGCTGAGGCGACCGGGATCTTCTCGTGAAAGGACATCAAGATCCATCTGAACGGTTGAACAGAGAAGTGCTCTGAGATTTGAATCTCTTAATGGCAAGCTATGGACCAACTGCTCGAGCACGATGTCTCTAGCCCTACTCAGAGTAGCAGAGGATAGTTTTGCTAGACCCTGAACATTGGGAGAAAAATGCTGAGAATTTGCACACTAGCTTCAGGAAAAATCATCATAACACTCTCCAAAGGTTCACAGCTTGGAAAAACCATTTGTTACCTACAACCTGAGGGAAAGAAGCGTCTGCTACTATCACAGAGAGAGCTTTATCAAGTTCTTCCACGGACTCATCATAGTCCTCTGAACAGCTGAAGGACTTGAACACCTGATAGTGATTTTAACGAAATCATCGATCCCGCTACAGTTGCTAGAAACAAAAAAACTAAGGCCTAGTTCAGACTTTGAAGTAATAAGACAGGCTAATCCAGAATTATGATTATATTCATACTAGAGTGACTATCATTTGCTCAAGCAAACACGCTCTTTCAAATTTCTCACGGTGGCAACATTGAAAGGATTGGAGGTTAAATTAAGTCGTGCATCGCATTGTTGAAGCTACAACAAACCCAAAAATTAAAGAGCGAGTGACAGCAGATTTACGAACTATAAAAACATCAAGACCCACAAGCATCAATCAGCACAAACCATACACTTTCTGTATCATTCACCCAGAAACGAGATCACTCAATTCGTCATCAGAGACTAAGAAATCAGCACGAGGGCGTCAAAAAAGAAGAAAAAGATACAGACATGTTCGAAGAAGACGCCCCATTGGAAGGCTTTGGTGACGTTCTGTTGGTCCCAGTGGGCTAAAAGGCCAGAAGACTGGTACCCAGATGCAAGAATCAGGATATCCGCGAATCCCTTCACCAGATTCACCATCTCTTCCAAGCTCACGTCCGGGTGCTTCCACCCCATTTTCCCGGAAAATTTGCAGAACCAGGTTTCGCGAGCTTTCTCTCTCTCCCTTTTCTTTCACTTGCTAAGAGCAAAAGAAGATGGTCTGGCGACGAAAGAGCCAGAAAGATCGGTTTTTTGGCTGACCCACTTGGAGCTTTTCCTTTTCTGTGGCAAACCAATAGAAGCCTTGAATTGAAAGTGCTCCCTTTTCCCGCTTCCAGATGTTCGCACACCTTGGTCGATCATCACGCGACATTAATGGCGTCACTGGTAAAGAAAACATTTTCACGGGGTTTTTGAGTGATATCAGAGAAATTCCGTGAGAGCGCTAAACGCGTGAGACGATAGTATGAGCGAAAATGACACGGATAATCCATAAACTCTGCTCCAACATGTAATGTAGTTTCTAAAGTTTTTGTACATGTTCAATCTAATCTCTGAACTATTGAAAGTTTATGAATCACATTACACATTTAAAGAAAGTTTAGGGACCATATTGGACAAATTAAAAGTTTAAGGATTATTTGTGTCATTTTCCTATACTATAAAGCCAACTCAATGGCCACTTCAATCTCAAACTTTTATCGAAAAGATCTTAGAAAGTTTGTGACCATTTTAAGATGCAATGACGATACGACGTAAAAAAATAGACGAAATGGTTTTCTTTTCCTCATTCTAAGAAGTTTAAATTTCAATTCGTTCCCTAAACTCAAAGGAAATATTTACTTTCCTCATTCATGTTTTTATCATTACAACATATTTATCGTAGAATTTTATGCGCCTTAACGGGGGTGGCAAATCATGAGACGATTCGTTGACAAAAAATCAAACATGATACGAATTTACAAAAATCACATTTCGATAGAGCCTAGCACGGTAACACCAAAAGGGAAACTTTACGCATTCTCATGTGAAAATGCAATATTGTACACTTTTCTTGTCCTAACTAGAATCTTATGTATATAGCCTACCAAAAAGGAAAACGGAGTAGTGTCTGATACGTGAATGGCATGTCCTACTTCTTGCCGTGTCAACTCTGTTGATTCTGAGAGAACTTCCGCGGTTAGGCGCCGACAGAAGCCGTAGCCTGCCCCCGAAATTGCGGCGACATTGCATAAGTGGCAAGCGACGCTTCCTCTTCATCTTCATCTTCGCCCTGCTCGTCTTCGTCTATTTCCCATAGAAAACTAGCATATGCTGCTTGAACATGGCTGCGTTCGTGAAAGGATTATGATTTATGAGTCGGTATGTCCACAGAGGTAGTCAAAGTTGAAGCGCAATGCCAATAGATCAGTTGGCGAAATGTGCAGACACAAACCTGTCTTCAGGGGCAGCTTGAACAGCACGCTCGAAGTACGTCGACGCTCTCGGTTGGTCGCGATGGAGCTCCCATACTAGCTTCGCATATTGCGACAGGATCTCGCCGTCTCGAGGATCTGCCAAAATGGCGCGAGCATAGTATTCCTCTGCTCTCTCCAGGTCTCCCTGTGTCTGGTAATAAAGACGTTGGCAAAATTTATTAAGACAGGTCAGGAAATCGTGGCAAAGTAGCAGGAGATGTTCTTCGATAGGAATTCCCGAATGATTGTCGATTTAGAGTCGAGCATTCGTCCAAATTAACCATCACTGTGCAAGGTGTGATAGAGTTCGATTTGTTACTCAATAATTTGCATCTTCTTACTGATTAACCCGCGTCGGCGAATTTAACTGACGTGATAACTGCACCAATTGCCAAATATTCAAGAACCCCGTATAGCATAACCTTAAAAAACCCAAAATAACGTATAACGAATAGGTCCGTGCAATTGTGGTCAGATGATATTAGTCGTTTCTGCAACTGATTCATCAGAATTTCCAAGAAGAGCCCGTGATTATATCACCTGGAGTACTGGGTGATGACTGGTGAGAACTGTTATGCCATGTAAATCTCAACATTTCACAAATTGAAATCATCTGACACGGAGAATACAGGAAGTGACTTGTAATTTACCTGATAGAGAAATTGAGCATAGTTTCTGAGAAACAAAGAGTTGTTAGGACTCTCCTCCACCATTTTCTTATAATGCTCTTCAACCCCCCGATTATTTCCATCATCGGCTCCGTCGTCCGACGAATTAGACCCCCTGCCGCCTCTGCTGCCGCCGTCACCGTCCCAATCGCCTCCGCCGCCGAGCCCTATCGCTAGATGCATTTCTTGCCTGACCCTCTCTTGGTTCTCTTCGAAACCGGACTTCTCAATCATATTCACACCACCAACGCTGCTCACCTCCTCCTCCGCAATCAAACTCATACTTTTACTCCCCTTGAACTTCACACTACTCTCCACCAACGATGCCTCTTCATATTCTTCGTACTCTTCTCCCTCCTCGACGTCGAAATCGCTGTTCTCTTCGTCCTCGTCCTCGCGGCCATGCCCGTTCCTATGAAACGAGAAAGACGGTATCGTCTCCAACATCATGCCTCGAGGCCGAACCGAGGGCTTCTTAGCATGGCTCGTGGCGCGGAACTGATCTTCACTGCTGCTCAAGGGAGACATGTTGAAGGCCAAGCCTTCCAAGTTGCCGTCGGATTGGGCTCGCCGGAAGCCGCCGGCGCCGCCCTTGCGTTGGTTGGGAGCGTCGCCCAAGTCATGCACGGAGGGAGAGGTGGGGGAGGAGTTGCATGAGATGGTGGAGAAGGCGAGGGACCCTTTCGGGTGGAAAGAGAAGCTGTGGTGGCCATGGAGGCCGGTCTTGCGCGCCGCCGCGGCGACGGCGGCGAGGGCGGCGGCCTCGTGGTGGCTGTGAAGGCTTGGGCTGTCTGAGAAAGAGGAGAGGAGAGACCCAAGAACTGGGGTGGAAGAGCTCCTCAGCAGCATTCTTCCTCTTCTCCAAGAAACTGGGGAAGCAAATGGAGGAAGAGCTCACAACTTCTAAAAGAGGGCAAAGGCAAGGAAGGGAAGATTGTCTATCAACTGATGAGGGAAGACAGGTTAGTTAAGGGCTACCACTTTCTTTTATATGGAGGGAGGGAGATCTCATTTACCCTTTTTCCATGAATTATTTCATGTGATGATGGTGAGAAAGAGAGGTTATGTGGTGGAGGTGGGTGGAAAGGGATGTGCCTTGGGGGCACGATTGCACCGAAAAATATCAAGTGGGGGGCTGGGGTTGGGAGCCCCCCCAGAAAGAAACAAAACAAACACAAAAGGCAAAGGAAAAAATAAACAAATAAAAAAAAATTGGGATTGGAAAATTTAGTATATGAGAATTTCCACTTCTATGTTTTACCAAGTGTCGCAATTTACATTGATCCGGATCTCCAACACTAGTGCATTGAAAGTTTTAAAACTTATCACAAAAGTGTAATCGAGTCTTGAAACTTTCAAAAATTGTAATTAAGTCTTAAAACTTATCATGAAAGTGCAATTGAATCATAAAACTTTCTAAATGCGCAATCAACAAAAAGACTTGATTGGACTAATTTGATAAAATTTAGGACTTGATTGCGCTTTTTGAAAGTTTGATAACTCAATTGCACTTTCGCGATAAATTTTAGGACTTAATTGAACTTTTGAAAGTTTTAGAACTCAATTACATTTTTATGCCTTTATGTTAAGACTTCCAATGCACTTTTATCTCTGTAAAATAATACGTTACGTTCTCAACTAGCCTTCATATGCTCGTAAGAATTCTCCGCGGGCCTCGTGCAATCGCCGCCTTCCGCCAAGCATTCCGTGTGTAGAAGAATCCATCGTCATATGACAGTTCAAGCTTTTACGTAAGCGCTGTCGTATTGTCCGGATCTTTCATCGTTCGTTCCGGGACGGGGATGCTCGCTTCGTGGAATTTTGAACTTTCGCCAACGTGTTAAGCGGAACAAAAAAGGCATCTTTCTTTCTTTCCCCCACGACATTCTCCAGCCGTGTGAAGACCCCGGATGGCAGATGGGGAAGTTTCGGAAGCATATGCAACGTACGTTGGATGCTTGGCTGTCTGTCTTGAGTTCTGATGTTCATGTACACTATACTTGCCTCAAAGGGCCTGTTTGATTGGGCATTTGAAAGCTACTTTGGGGCTCTAAAGTCTCTTCCGCAAATGCAAACCTGTTTGGCAAATATTTTGGCAAGCTTTGAGGAGATACAATTGCATCTCCAAAGCCTCTAAGGGACTTTGGTTGAATGGAGGGATGGAGGAGCTTTGGGGACTTGCATTTTCGAATGTAATGTGCGACCGTTCACGTGCACTGTTCATCTTCCCGACCGAGACCGGCGACCACCGCCCGAGGGGTCCGGCCACCGCCGCCTGGGGCGGCCGACGTCCGGCGACCGTCGCCTCGGGGGTCGGTGACCCAGGACCCGCCGCTGCGGGGTCGGCCGACCCGGCGGCCGACGCCGCAGGGGTCGGTCGACCTCGAGGCGGCGCCTAGGTCGCGTGACCCGGATCCGGGTCGTGCGACCTAGGCGCCGCCCTTAGGTCCGCCGACCCTGACGGCAGGTCGCCGGGGTCAGCCGACGCCCAAACGGCGATCACCGGCCTCGCGCAACCCAGGCGAGGCCGCCTGAGGTCGCGCAACCCTCCGGCAGCAATCGCCGGGGTTGCGCAACCCAGGCGACGCCTGAGGTCGCGCGACCTCAGGCAAGGCTAGCCAGCCGGCCATGGCTCTTCCTTCTTTGCTTTTTTTTTTTTAAATATTAGCAAAAGTTATTCACAAAATTAAATTTTACTAAACGGTATTTAGATCAAAGTTGCTTTCAAATGTGATTTTAAAATACTCGTTATCAAATATTATTTGTATTTCGAAAAATCTCTTTAGCTCAAAGGTATTTGTATATATGCAAATGTATTCCCTAAAAGTCGAACCAAACATGCCCGAAATCTCTTCAGACAAACAAGAGAGAGGGAGAGCGAGACAAAAGGAGGGGCCAAGGTTGACCCGACCACCACCAAATTCTTTGATTCACGTTTTTCTTTGCCTTTTGCCAGCTCCTCCTCCCCGCACGTCCGTACACGTGGCAGAGGCCAGGACTTTCGTGGGTTCGCGCCACGTGTCCTTTGGCTCGATGGAAAGAGTTACCTGTCCTATGCTCAAGACAAGTTTGTAACTTTCACTCCCGTGGAAAAACCAATTGGGGAACGCAAAATGGAAGACAAGTTTGATGGGGAATTCGCTCGATCAATCTTAGATTCATAGTACGGATGTGAATTCAATTATAAATTTATCAATTTTTATCGATTTAGACCTAAATATTTACTCAAAATTTTAATAATTTCCACCGAAAATCGAAACTTTGATCGACACAACTTACCATTCTCTAGTTACTGGCACGACAAATGACATCTAAAAGTTGAAAGATGTCCATCATTTCCTCGACGAATTCTGAGCTTGTCGTCGGGCTTTGCACTAGTAGGAGTTGCCAAGTTGAGCCGACGCTGATTCCGATCGATCCGAACGCAGCTTGCGGTATTTTAGGTCGGGTTTAGAATTCCTCGATTGCAACAGCTTTCGCCTTTTTCTGGTTTTCATGTGACTCCCCAAGAACTAGCAGTCTAGGGATTGATCACATTCTAGCAAAGAAAGCACTCTACTCTCAATACGACAGACAGGATGAGACTCACACAGATTTACAGTCCTAAGAAACCGATTTTAGTTTTATTTCGCCAAGACTCATCATGGTAAAGAAACCATAACCCAATTCAAATTCGTCCTCCTAATCAATTATCACAGCGACGATATTAATAAGAAATCGCGCTTTGTAAATAGTCCTACCGCGCGAAAAAATAGAAAAAAATCCGGGTTCCTAATTCTTCCAAGCCACTGAGATGGGGCTTCTCACTCTGTACACGCTTTGGCCAGAATGAACCCAAGTCAAATGTCCCTGAGAGTAGCTAAGTTTTGGAGTCCCAGCTCTCTTCCTTGCTATAAACCACACTCTGTAGCTCAAAGTCTGGTTCATGTGCCTGAACACAAGCCTCCTTGGCCTGACTCTCAAGCTTAGCCCCTCCGGCGCCGCCGCTTCCACCGAGTATACAGAATTCGGCTCGCCCACGTTAGTGACCCGCCTCCTGACCATCTTCCTCCTCTTCCCGTCCTTAAACATCACGGAAATTGCAGGGTAATTTAGGCTGAAGCCCCTGTTTGACCTTGAGAGCTCGCGACAGCTGACATTTCGGTGAGTGATAGTGAAGATGTCCAAATTCGTGTAGCCTAATGTGCACAGATGGGTGATGTAGTCGTCCGGGTTGATGTCGTAGATCAATCCCGGGTTGATGGCTCTCGCCGGGTTCACGTGCCCCGACCCCATTGCGAAGATCCCCGCAGGTTTGTTTCCGTCCATGATTGGCTTCCCTGAGTGGTCGGTTGTGTCCGAGGTCGTCATGATTGCCGACTTGATGGCTGCCGGGGTCCATCCTGGGTGGATGGAATGGATCAGAGCAGCAATCCCGCCGACGTGAGGGCAGGCCATGGAAGTCCCTGACATGACTGTGAAGTTCACTCTCCTGGAATCTTCAGGAAGCGCACTTGGACCTAAGTTTTGAGGCCAAGCAGCAATAATGTTGACTCCTGGAGCAATCACATCAGGCTTCAGGATTGTAGGATTAGTCAAGCTCGGTCCTCGGGCCGAGAATTGAGCCACTGCGGGCGCTCGGCTTTTCCCAATGACGGTCCCGCCGAACTCGATCCTGGCCCTTGGCCTTGCGGTGGAGTTAATGTAGGCCCTCAAGAGGATCGACTCCGAATATCCGATTGTCGTCGCTGGCAACACGTGGACATCCACCGAGTCCTCTTCAAGGTTTATCTCGGTATTCGCTAGGATCATCGCGGCCCCACCCGCTTCCTTCACGATTTGGCCCTTCTCCGACCTCCCATTGACTCCGCGGTCGCAGACAACCATCTTGCCTTGAACCTTTTCTCTAGGGAGTGACCCTCGCAAGCAAAATTCGCCCCCCATGTTGCCGTCAGTGACGTAAATCAACTCGAGTTCTTCACCAGACATTGCTGAACGGTCCCTCGCGGGGTACAAAGATTCTCCGTATAGGAACTTCCCGTTGCCCAACCGAACAATAGCAGGGAATCTCCGGTCAAGCGTGCTTGCGCCTACAGTTAGAATCCACGGAGCTTCGTTGGCGACTGAGTTCAGGATTGGCCCGTTGTTTCCGGCAGAGCATACGACTGATACACCCTGCTCGACTGCACGAAAGCTCCCGATAGCAATGCTATCCGCAAAAAGGGGGATCGGGAAGCCGCCAAGTGAGAGGGAGAGGACATCGACTCCATCCCTGATTGCCACATCCATCGCAGCTAATATATCAGAGCTGTAACAGCCACTGAACCAGCAGACTTTGTACACTGCAATGTGGGCGCCCGGGGCCATCCCGCGGGCCACGCCGGCCCCATTACCAAGCACGCTCGCCATTGCCACAGAGGCTCCCCCAGCCGTTGATGAGGTGTGGGTCCCGTGGCCATGGGAGTCTCTTGGCGAGACATACTCAACCACGTCGTCCGCCGAAGGTGACGGAGAAGCCACCCGGTGCCCCTTGGTGAAGAACCGGGCGCCGATTAGTTTCCGGTTGCAATTCGAAAAGTTGAAGCCCTGCCCCTCTTGGCACGTCCCCTTCCATTTCTTGGGGACAGGCGGCATGCCCCGGTCGTCGAAGCTTGGGCTCTCGGGCCAAACTCCGGTATCTAGGACACCGATGATCGTCCCGCGCCCGAACCTCGACTCACTCCAAGCCCCTCCCGAGGGATTCAATCCTAGGAACTCGTAGGAATAAGTAGTTTGCACTTGGAGGACCCTGTCGGGCCGAATGGCAATGACATCGCTCATTCGCTCCAAGTTCTCGCGCTCCAAGTTGGACAGGCGAGCGGCGAAACCGTCCATCGCGGAACGGTAGGAATAGAGCAGGCGAGAAGAAGGGTCTTCCACGGGAGAGGGAGGGACGGTGCGGTGGATGAAGGAGAGGTGCCATTGGAGCTCAGAAGCGAACGCGAACCGGGTCGGCCCATTAGGATGGAGCTGAACTATGTAAGTGTGGAGAGGGTCGGTGTTCGCATGGAGCACGGCCAAGCAAAGCGAAAGCGAGAAGGTGACGATGAGCGAGTTGATATTGGCTTCCATGGGTATTGTGTCGAGACACTTTGCTGCATGATTCGGGGACACATTTGCGGGTGACTTATATGAAGAACTCGCACAGAGAGAGAGGGAGTGAGAATTCAAAACTGACCTCTGAGCGTAGAAAAGACGAAACTCGTGAAATTCCAGGGCTCTTCATCACGAGGATCATTTGGCATGAGAAAGAGACAGAGAGCTCTTGAGGAGCTTCAGTGTTCGTGTGTGCTCTGAGCTCTTCGTCTTCACGAGAAGTAATGGTCGGTTTTAATACATGAAGAGCCGTTGGATTCGAATGAAATGTCGGGCGAATGTTTGATGCTCGGTACTTGGGTTAAAGAGACGGACGGAAGACATGGTAAGTAGAGCGGAGAGTTCGAAGCTGTACTGAGATGAAAGGTGAAAACGGCCATCGCCAATTCAATGCTTGAGCTTCTGTCTCTGCGCGCGCGCGCGCAGTGCATTAATGATAAGGTCTTGGACTTAGCCATCCATGGCTCCCATTCCACGCATTTGCCCACCGCGCAAGTAGCCAATCAAATTAGCTAAGGAGAGAGAGAGAGAGAGAACCACACTGTTCTAGGAATTACAACATTACTGGGTATATCTCAATCCCTAAAAAATGTGTTAGAATCTCACTCTCAGTACTTACAAAGACCCGAGATGCGTCGAAGACAGCGATGATTTTGGAACGGCGATGCGGTTCTCAACCAAACGAGCATTCTCGTGGATACAACCCGGCGACTTCGGGGGCTATGGAATGATCCGTCGGTGTGAGATCGTGGTTCACGGCCATCCTCCAATCCTAATGCTAAATGGAGGTTGCAAAGGGTTCATGTATTTAAGTGTGAGTACATGAAACAAAGGATTTTAGATCATGATCGTGTATGCAAAGAAGTCGATGCAAATCACAATTCGTTTTCACGGAATAACAACATCAAAATGACCAACATCGATTGGGAACAGATTTACTTCTTTTTTTTTCATTACCTTTAATAATATTACGGCATTTGGTGCGGTTTTCCGAGTAGTGGCTACGTATGTATAGACGATGCCGGACTATCTTGGGTCTGGTTCTTTTATCGCTCCGACCCGTAGTTTTCGGACGAGACAAGAAATCCAGATCTGGCCCATTTCATCGAGTTTAGCATTTTCATGTAGAGAGCTATGTGCAGCAGTGCAGACCTTTCCCTACCAAAAAATCTTGGTGGGTACAAGAAAGTTAGGGCTAGAGGGCCATTGACTAAGCCACAGGAGGTTTAGTCACACGTATGGCTTCCTTGTAGACGTGATAGGTGCATCAGATTCGGCTCTCTGCTCCTTTGCCCAAGCCCATATGTAATTGGGAACAAGTTTGCTTAAAATACACTATTGGAGAATTATCCTGATAGATACCTCATGCACATAACTATATCTTTGCTGCCTTCGCGAACGCCAAAATCGCATACACCTGTTCACATCGTGACCTAAAAATTACGCTTCTTTAAGCGGAACACGTCGGTCAATGAAATATTTATCGAATCCCATTATTTTACCGCTCTTTATACCGCGATCTTTTGACAAGTGGGCGTAGCACGCAATGGACAGACTCCAACTCCCTGCAAGGTTCAGTGTACTCCGCACCATATGGCCATGATTTCAAGAAGTACTATGATGGGCACCGTTATTCTATTCTACTGCAGGAGAACGTGATCTTAAGGTCGAGTTAGGAAACTAGATCTGGACCGACTAAGCTCGGATTATCATATTAAGACTTGCAATTTCTTTAACTTAAGAAGGTCTAGAAGACGTGTTTAGGGGAATCGTGTTGACTTCTTGTCTTGGGAGGAAATGTGTCTCCTAGGGTTTTACCAAGAAACGTGCTGGGAACTACTAGATTCCAGCTCGAGTCAATGGGAAACAGCAAAAGTCAGAATTGTCTAGCCATCGCGTTTAACTTCAGCTGAGATCCGGCTTTGACGGCAATTAAGACAGTCATTGGGGTTTCCTGTTGGGAAAGAGAGTCAGGCTTTCCATCAATCAAATTATGCAAATTCTCCAACATTAGCCACGGTCAAAACTCGACTCGAGCTCGAACGAGTATTAACAATTCTGCATCGAACCGAACCCGAACTACTCGCAAGTAACTTGTCTTGGTTTCAACTCTACCTATACACATTAGCCCCTACTCGCGTCTCTGCAATGTGAAATGTCAAACCAATTCCACCATAATTTGGACATTCAAGTTGCGAAGAATGACTCCTCGAATTCTTACGATGACGTTTCGTGGGTAAGTGTCTACGGATTCTTGTTAAGCAATCAATGAAGGGAAATTTGCACTTGAGGCGGCGATATTGAGAGCCAACATGCCAAGAACAAGATGGAGATGGCGACAAGAAATAGCCCGAAAAGAGCTCCACCAGTTCATTCCCTATGGACATTAGGTCATCACCACTATAGCCAGGAAAACGCCACAATGAATGGGCCACCATACATATTCTTGCCAACAAAGAAGAAAGTGAAAAGGGTAGTAATGACAGGGACTCCCTTTGTTGCACGTCTAGTATATAAAATTCCTGACCATGTGAAGCCGATCCGGCAATCGTATTTTAAATCCTGACAATGAATGGCTTAGTGACATATATGGTGGAAGATCCTAATGTCATGGCTAGGAAAAGATACCATTTTCCAGGTAAAAGAGACGAATACATGAATCCGGGATAATCCTCCAGAATCTCTGGGTATTTTAGACGCCAGAAGAAGCTGCTTCTTCAAGCTACTGAGTACTAACTCAGCACACAAACACAAATAGGTATCACAGAGAGATTAAATCACTGAACTTTCTGAACAAGATGAAACAAGTTTGCATTTCCATGCTCGAAGAGTCTTTAGAACCACAGGTTGGCAGGTCCTATCAGTCTTAAAAGCAAACATGTAGAGGCAAGAAGTTCATGCAACGAAAACTTTCCCTAGAGCTGGGATAGGGCACAAAGCGGATTTCGCAAGCCTGACCGAAAACACCCTTGAACGTTGGACAACAAAAACAGGTAGAGAACCCTACCAAACAACAAGACCCAATTTCGCAAGCCCCCTCAATTTTGGAAAACTTGATGAGATATAAACATGCAACCAACTACAGGCACTTGAAAACATGCCAGAATCTGCTAAACATCAACCTTACAGAAAAGAACAGTACATTGGCTTATATAGCTGCTTCTACTGAGAACTTGCAAAGATGGAGCAACTTGGGTCCACTATGCTGAGATCGAAAGCTTGACCAGAAACAGAAAAATTATATTTCTCATGAAAAGTTCCAGTATCTATGCGAACATGGACATTAAACAGATCCATCCATGGAATATGTGCTATGTAATACCCTATTAAACGCAATTAAAGAATCGCTAGGCACGATACAGGCAGAATGTAGAAGGAAGCGGGACACTCAACTATGTTTCTGTCTTTGATTGCCTAGCACGGCAGTGGACCTAAAAGGCTGAACTGAACGGTATATTAGCTTCAAAAATATGTCATCGGAGAGCCATTGTGCTCTTGCCTTCGGTCGGAATCTCTCTTGACATGAACTCCATCTAGAGGCATCACCATGCATCAGCACTTGGTAAAGCTTCTTCAGGAAAACTGAAGCCTCCAGATCATGACTGGTCTCTCTGCTCGTTCTTCCAAGACTTCTTCGCAGCTTCTGCAGAGGAACCTCCAGAATCTCCCTCGCCCTTTGGCTTCGAGAAGAAAGGATCCCATTCGTGGCCTCCCACTTCACGCTGTCCCTCCTCCAACAAGTCATATTTCCAGCTATTCTCTTCAATAAAGTTATCATATTCAGTACGGCCCTCAATAATGTTCCTTCTCAGCCTCGTAACCTTGTCAATGACGGCCTGCACAGCTACATCGAAAGCGTCCTTCAGAGTCTCTAGTTTCGAGCGGGGATCAGCATATATAAGCCTCGGGATGAGATTTATGACTTCCTCCCTCATTATCTTCACCTGCTCAGGAGATATTTCCCGGAGCCTCTCCTCTATGCTAACATTGCGCTTTCTTAGATCATCTTCAGGAATAAAGACGGAGTACTTTGTGTAATCTTTCGGAAGATGCCAGGTGTATTGAGTGTAGGCTGATCCCGGATGGAAGAAGACTGGTATACAACCTGCCAGCATCGAGTCAAAAGCAGATCTCCTCGTATATGAATCACCCTGTGGCTGCAAGCAGAAAAGGGAGCTTTGGAACATCTGCATAATACTGCTTGGAGAATGACACTTGCTCTCCCCAAAATCACACTCTAGCAGCTTGCCGACCTTAGAGTTCCTGCACTGATCAATGATTTGTCCTCGAATTGATTTTGGGTTGTCCGGACGAGGAGCGCCGGCAAACGAGAACAGCCATTTGCGCTCCAATTTCCTCATCCTGTCCTGCCAATTGAATACGTCAGCATCTTTTGCTGGGTGAAAATAAGTCGGATAAGGAATGCCGAAATCATTCGCATTCCATGGACTTGACTCCACAACAAGCATAGACATGTTTCTTGCAGCAGGGAGAAACAGAAGCTTATTGCCCCAGTCCGTTTCTTCGTCACTTAACCGCCTGAAATCCCATGTGATCCTCCCAGCAACAAGGAAGTGATCCTTCCCTCCCATGATGTTCCACTCCGGCCTCTTCATCAGCCATTTAACTAAATCAACAGATGCGGCATCCCTCACAGATGTGTTGTAACCCCAGAGATACCTCGCGATGTCAAATCCAGCATAGAAGGGTACGAAAACAGCCGCGGCAATGGAAGAATCACGCGTTAAGCAATCGTACTGCTTCATCCTATTGTTGAAAATGACATCAACAGCAAACTGATTCGTCGCGTACCATCCCGTATTCGAGAACACACCTTCGACATTCTCGAGCGGTGGACCGAGCCCGGCATTACTGGTGAACTTACACATATTGGTCCAGAGGCTTAACTTCCTACACTCCTTGAGCATGTCCTCGTTAAACCTAGGCGGCAAATCGTGGACATATATGTACCTCCCACCGCACGGATCACTCTTGTTCTCTGTAGTTCTCAATGCTCTCATAAACGGGAAACTCTCTCTTTTCCTTTTAGTTTTCCGTTTCGGGGACTCCACCACTTTAGGAATTTCCCTTTTCGGGGGATCGACCACTCGGGGAGTTTCCCTTTTCGGGGGATCGACCACTTGGGGAGTTTCCAAATGGCTCTCCCTCAGCGGCGTAGCGCTCATGCGGGGTTCCGACGAAGGGTCATCATCGATCCTATGAGAAGGCGTGGATTCGGTTCTAACCGGAATGGGCTGCAATTTGGCGGATTCATCAAAGGGATTACCCCCTAGAACTACGAAATGGAAGTAAAACAGCAGAACCCAGAAAAACAAGGACAATGTAGCCAAGAAACAGAGGCGGGAGTGCTGGTTCTTAGCCGTTCCCTTCTCCATTTGCTCCGATGCGACACTCGCCGGCGAACGGCGTCTCATCAATGACACGAGCACAACGATTTAACCCACCACCCAGACCACCGTCATATCCACATCCAAGCGCCGCCCAGAAACCAGATCCCCGACAAATACAAAGGCCGACCCAGTTCGACCGATGAAACACGAACGAAAACCCTTTACTCCGATCGCGCAGGCGCAGGCGCAGCCTAAATTCGGGCCCCCGCCAATCTCCGGAGACGGGTAAAACGAGCTGCCCAGAATCCCGAACGGCGATGTCAAATCAAATGGGGAAAGAATGCAAGAGAGCAACAGACCCACCGAATTCGAGCAGCCAGGAGCTGCGACGGAACGATCTTCGAGGATGACGACGACGATGACAATCAAGAATCGGCAAGAACCTCGACAACTTACTGAGCCTTGCCTCCCCCGCCCGCCGACCTCGATTCAGACAAACGGATTCAGAGCCTCGTCACCGCAAGAACGAGGCAGCAACTGACGATAGAGAGAGAGAAGGGGTTGATCTATGTGATTTGGAGGAAGCTGCTAGGAGCGATCACGGCGTCGATACGAGCGAATCATGGGGGGATGAATGGGGAGGATCGAAAGGAGAAGGAAAGCGAAGCGCATTTATGAGAGAGGGGAGAGGGGAGGGAGAAGGATTCAGGGGAGGCGCATGTTAGCGACGTGCGCTCGTCCCGGGAGCTTTCCATTTGCCTGTCGGTAGCCCGTAGATTGGCGCCACGTAGGCGGGTGTCGGGTCAAAAGAGGGAGCCCCTAACCTAGCGGTTCCGCCTCCTGGAATTACGTCGCCCTGATTTTTTGAGACAGGAACAAAACACAATTAATAGGATGATTGACGACAATATGGCCCGGGACTAGGTTCGCCGGGGTACGCCCAAGATCGCTCGACAGCGAAACGAAGACTGCGATTTGATATTTAAATTATAAGTGTACCGAAACTATTAAAACTTTGTCGTGAAAGTAAAATCGAATCTTAAAATTTACAGAGAGTGCAATCAAGTCTAAAGATTTATAGAATTTGTGCAATCGAATCCTTTCGTAAACTCCGTCCAATTTGGCTAACGAAAAAATATTGATGCGGCTTTTTTTTCTTCCATAAGTGGCGATGACGTGGTTAAAACATGAAACGCCAGGCCAAAACGACGTCGTTTTTAACCAAATATGATATTTTTAATATAAATTTCATTTTGATAAATAAGCTAATTAATGAAAACAAAGACACATAGGGGAGAAACCTGGCGGCTAGGCACCTGCCTTTTTTTTTTTTTTAACTAGCTTATTTTTTATATGATTTAAATGAAATCTATATTAAAAATCATGAATTGACTAAAATGACGCCGTTTTAGTCACGCCATCGCCAAGTAGGATAGAGAAAATATAAAGAAAGTCACGTCAGCATTTTTCGTCAGCCAAATTGGACGGGGTTAACGGAATAATTCGATTGCACCAATTTAATAAGTTTTAGAACTTAATTGCACATTTTGCAAGTTTTAGGACTCAATTGCACTTTCGCGATAAATTTTAGGACTTCCAATAAACTTATCATAATATTTAAATATTCTAACACTTTTGTTTTACGCGTGATTTGGATGTTGTAAGGAGATATGTCCATCCTCGGCATACAATCCCGTATTGTATGCTAAAGGACCACTCATGTCTAACAAATCATATACCAATTTGGTAAATCGATCTTAGTAAGTCCTAGCATCACTCTTTTATTATTAATGCTCTTCATCCCTAATTGGGAATAAAACGAGGGAAATAAAGAAAATATCATCGTTTGTTACGAAACTACTAGTGAAATCATCGGCCTTTATGAAACTCATAACGTGTTACGCTTTGCCGTAACGATAGCATCTTTTATCATGGAAACTCTATAAAATATAGGAAAATTGCCCAAAATGTCGTAAATATATTGTACGTATTCAATTTTATCCTAAACTTTTCAATTTGGCGAATGTAGTCAAAATCTTTTGACTATTTTTAAATGTAGTACATCTAGCCAATTAAGGCTGGAGATCACTGGCGAAGCAATCCACTCAGCACCTAGCGTATGAGATTGGACAATCTTAAATGAAACAACATGGTTTTGAGTTTATTATTTTCAATCTTCTTTCTCTCCATTTTCTTTCATTTCTTTTCTTTCTTTTTTTCCTATTCTTTCTTTCTCTACTGTTCATCTTCTTCCCTCGGCATTGGCTGGCGATGGTCGCTAGGGCCTATGCAATGGCCGGCGACAGTCGCGGCTCTCACTCAAATCTAGGCAAGGGCCTGCATGCACTCGCCGATCACAAGAGAAGCTAAAACCCATGCTCTTGTTGCTGCAGATGGCGGAAGAGAGGAGGAGTTGAAACCCAGATATGGGTTTCAAATTGAAGATGAACAGTAAAATAAAAAAATAGAGAAAAACAGGTTAAAAAAGAAATTCAAAATTCAAAAAGAACTGCTCAAAACGATGTGATCCACACCAGTTCACCGACCATGACACGTGAGACAGCCGACGTTGACTAAATCGTCATATTAGTAATTTCGGCTAATTTTAATTAGATAGATTACATTGAAAAATCACAAAAAGATTTAGAATTATGTTAACTGAATTTAAAAATTTTAATATTGAATTGGCACCCGCGTAGGTTCAAAATAGATTTCAACTATATGCATAGTTGCAGACTATTTTACATATAACAGCAAAGAAAGGACGAGGCTAAAGACAGGAGCAACAGCCGAGGCACGTGGCGGGAGAGCTGATTGATTGAGGCTGTCGTCGGGCGGCGCGCGCGTCTACGGAAAAGAGGCGACAACACCGACACGAGCGTGGGCGTCGCCGTCTCGAGGCTCGGGCCACTCTCGGTCCGAGGGGCAAGATCCTTACCACATGGCACATGGGAGATCTTTACATCTCGGGCCACCCCACCCAAAAACAAAAAAAAAACAAGGAAAAGAAAAAGGACCCTTTGTTTTTCTTTGAATCATGTTCACAAATAAGCAAAATTAATAAAAGAAAAATGTGACGGTGTATGTATAATATATGAATGTGGACAGTGGCCCAACCCAAAATTTTAATTTGAGGGGGGGTGAGTTGACACTCTTGGCAAATTATAAATTTAAGGGGAGGGGTTGAGATATGTCGATTCTAAAATAAGAATGTATCTAATGCCGAGCACGTAGTCAGCCTTATTATCTAGATTTCTTAAGGAAAAAATTACTCAATCGATCGTGCCGATTCAATCATAAACTTTTCAATTTTGCCAATTTAGTCTTAAAATTCCAATGTTGTCATTCCCGATCAGTCTTTGCTGGAAATCGCTGACGCGGCGGTATGCCGTGTAGGACGACCGGTGGTGATCGGACCGCCATGTCAACGATTTCCTGCGAAAATTAATCGGAAGGACTATATTGGAATTTTGCGCAAAAGTTTAGGACTAAATTGGCAATATTAGAAAGTTTAAGACTGAACTAGCATCCGTATTTAGGTTACCAAAAAAAAAAAAAAAACTAGCATCCGTATAATAAATTAATGATTGATTGGATAATTTTTCTATTTTCAAAGCACACACAATTAAATCTCCAAAAGTAGTGCAGTCCCCCCCATTCAAGAGGCTGGAGCACACTGTGGTGCCCCTACAGATGATTTGAACCGTGTTGCGAACTTGCGATCAAGACTCAGACAATGAGCGATGAAGATGAATGTACTTACCACTCAGAGTGACTTTTAGGGTTAGCGACATCATGTAACTACTATAAACAGTTACAAAGGGGATTGTAACATGCCAACATTTAGAGGAGAAAAAGAAGAAGAAGTGGGAATAGCTATCTTACACACTAACCATAGATTGTCAAAAGGGTATTAGGTCTTTAAGAATATCTTTGGCAAACCTCTCGCAAGACGAGACAATAGGACGATTAAAACGACCCGAGCATCGTCGAAACATCTTATAGCAGCTTTTAAGAAACCCCCGTCGCAAGTTTCACGATCACGAGTGCCGAACGGGCTCCTGTAGATATAGGACGAGGAGGGAGATCTCAAAAATGGGGCCATGGTCAGTTAATAGATGGGCACGAATTGGTGTTTCTGTTGGTGGCATGCATCGTGGCCGGGCAGTGCTTGCCTGTATGCTTCGGCCCCGCTCAACCACTCGGGACTCCAAGGATATATGGCTGGAGATGAACGAAGGGAGAAGAGTACCAAAGCTTAGGAAACGTCAAATGTTCGACTTAGTCGGGAATGGACCCAAACAATGTTGCCAAATAATTGAAATGAGACGCTTGTCAATGAGCAGTTTGAAGGTACGGGAGTTGGCATTGATAGCATAGTGATTAAGGGTTCTTTTTTGTGTTTTAAGCATATCATAAAGAAACGTAAGATGTGTTAGAAAGTCCAACCTAAAAATTTAAATTGATACATTATCAATTTAGCAGGGAATAGACCTAAACAATGTCGCCAAATAATTGAAATTAGACGTTTGTCTATGAGCAGATTGAAGGTACGAGAGTTGGCATTGATGGCATAGTGTTAAGGGTTCTTATTTTGTGTATGTGTGTGCGCTTTAAACAAATCATAAAGGACCATAAGATGCATGTTTTGCACAGATTCTGTTCACTTGTTCATTTATATATTTTTGACTCTCGTGATATTTGTGTTGTAACTATGGGTTAATGGCTCGACAAAAGTGAGCAATTGTGAACATGTCTCTTCAGATCAATTTCTACAACAGTTGCCACATGTCTTTTCGGATCATTTTCTACGGCAGTTGTTTTGGTCTTTAATAGACATAGCCGAAAGAACATGTCTCTTCAAATCATGTTCTTTCAAATCATGTCCTATCAATCTCCATAAATTGAAATGGACTATCATTCATTTGAGAGAGGCATACCTAGCATTTCTGTGCTTAGAAAGTTGTTTCAATCTCTCTGTGTTCAAAGTTAGAAAATGAATCTATTCTCTTCAATTATTTATTTGTTAAATCTCTAAGTGTGTCGGTTCGAGAAAAAATTCGAGTGAGTCCTATATGTATAGTGCTAATACAAAATAGGTTCAAGATGTATCTCGAAAGGCATAATTCGTAAATTTGCAAAATACTGTTGTTGACAGGAGAGCTAATTGCCTTAAGGAGATTTGATAATGCACA